TAGCGAGAGGATTCACCAGAAACAGAGTGGGGAGCAGAACAGGCAGATCGACAAAGACAGGAGAGGTCTGCTGTGCCATGTGGATCACTTGCAGGACTGTTATCTAACTCGCAGTGCAGTGGCCTTGGCTTGGGCTTAGCTTTGTAGTGCTGTGCTCCAACCTGCTGTGACAACAGGGAGAGCCCATAAATAAATCTTTTTTTTTTTTAAGTGATTATGAGTGAATTTTTTTCTTCATTTCTTTTTCTTCTCATTTGTTCTTTTGTATCTAAAAATTCAAATCTAGAGATTCAATGAATTTTTATATACTGATTTGTGATCTACCATTTTGCTGTATTCATTTTCTACAGTAATTTTTGTGTAGGCGTCATTATGGTTTTCTCTATATATCATCTGCATATAATGGTTGTTTTATATCTTTTCTTTTTCAAATGGTGTTACCACACCACATCTACCACCAAAGTTAATGTCATGTCTTAGCTTAGCCATTCTATCCCAATTTCCATTGTCATTGAGTTGTAGAAGTTTAGAGCAAGAAGGGACATTAGAGATGAATTATTTCAAAAGTCTCTTTTTTTCTTTTGGTCTGATGAAATAGAGGCAAAGTTATATTTCATGTCTTGCCCAAAGTTGCATAACTATCATTTCATGTACATGAAATAATATTATTTAATAGTAAATATTATTATGTTATATATAATTTTCTGCATCTGATTTATTGTTTAGAAATATATATATAGTGAATAACTTTCCTTGTCAATTATATATTATAGAGCTACTGTTAAATTTTCCCCATGTTCAAAGTTTACTTGAAAGTTGAGGTGTTTTATAGATGATATATCATTTTGACAGTTGGTTACATTAATTTATTTTTACATTATATAATAATGTAAACATTTTGATACATATAGTACACAAAATATTACTATTTTGTGATTATGTTCAAGGCATGGAATGTTGGAAATATACATTGGATCCAGTGATGTGATAGATGTTGGTAAGTATGTTGGGTAAATGAACCAAAAGTTGTATAAAAAAAAGTAAACATACATCTGTTTTCAAGGACACGGGCAGCACATGGGAGAATTATTTTACACAAACTAGTTTGGACCACCACCCAGCATCAGGATATAGCTGTAATGTTTTATGAATCGTTTCTATTTCTACTTCAGAAAATTGATGTGTGTTTGTGTGTGTGTGTGTATGTGTGTGTTTTAATCAGGCTGTCTTAACATTACTGCTTTAGTCACAGATAAAATAAAAAGGACAATATGCATAATATCTCCAACTAAAAACCTATTGTAGCCTAGTGAAGTGGTACAATATTAGAAAACTTTAAAATTGCAGCTCTTTCTGGATGACTATAGAGAAATAATTACACATTAAAACTCATTAAAAATATTCTGGCAGGGAAATCAGCACCACACACTTTGCTTTTGCTGAGTGGAGACTGGAAAATATTTTTGTTCTTCATATCACTTAATACTATTTTGATAGGGAAGCAATACCTGCTTAGGGAAAAACTGTTCTGCCAGGTGAGACGTGAAAGATCAGCTTTCTATTTGGTCCTACAAACACGACACAGTTAAGTAATTGGAATATCATCTGTTTTCACCCAGTAGTGGATGGAAGATCAATTTCTTGCATTTAAGACTTGATTAACCTTGTTGCCCACCACAAACCACATCCCCTACTCCATAGCTTTGTGCAATCAGTGCTTTAGCGGGTTGATACTGTTGTAAGCATTTTCAGACTTATGGACAATTTTTTTTTCTTTTCTTTTCTTTTTTTTTGGTTTCATAGATTTTTTAAAATTTTTTATAATAGTTTATTTTTACATATATTTTTTAAAAGATTTATTTATTTGTACATACAGAACTGGGCTACAGGCCAGAGGCTCAGGGGCAGCGAGAGGATTCACCAGAGACAGAGTGGGGAGCAGAACAGGCAGATCTACTAAGTACACTGCTGAGGGGAGCAGCGGGCGGGTCAGGAAAGGTCTCCTGACCTCCGGGGCAGGCAGGAATTGAACTCATGCAAAAGTGGCTTTAGCTTCTTAGTGCTGTGCTTTATAACCCGCTGTGCCACCAGGGAGGCCCTATTTTTACATATTTTTGTGCATTTTTCCATCTCAGTTGCAATCCCCTTGGGCTTCCCATCACCAAATCACCCATGTGCCATCACCATAGTCCAGTGCATTTCCCTCCCCCCACTGTTTTTGATCCCATTCCCCACTCCACACCCACAAAATGTCTCTGGTATATAGCTGTTCATCATTATCATTATTTTCTTGCCTGTTCTGTTATATTACTGCTATGAGAGAAACCATCCGGTACTTTTCCTTTTCTTTCTGGCTTATTTCACTAAGCATGATCTTTTCCAGCTCCATCCATGTTGCTGCAAAAGACATGTGTTTCTTTTTTTTTTTTTGGTTGCTGAGTAGTATTCCATTGTGGATATGTACCACATCTTTTTAATCCATTCATCCATTTTTGGGCATTTGGGCTGTTTCCATGCCTTTCCAATTGTGAATAAAGCAGCAATAAACATGGGGGTGCAGGTATCTTTTTGAATCAGTGTTTTTGTGTCTTTTGGGTAGATACCTAGGAGTAAGATTGCTGGGTCATAGGGAAGCTCCATGTTAAGCAGTTTGAGGAAACTCCAAACAGTTTTCCATAGTGGTTGTACTAGTTTGCATTCCCACCAGCAGTGCAGGAGAGTTCCTTTCTCTCCACATCCTCACCAACATTTGTTGTTGCTAGTTGATGTTGAACATTTTTTTTTACCCATATGCTTGTGGTGATCTGCGTTTCCTCTTTGGAGAAGTGATGGGCACTTTTAAGGGGTAAATAAAACTGCCATAGGAGATTTTAAGCTATTACAATGGCAGTCTGCAGAGAACACCATGAGACTATTTGGGGAGAATTTCATTGGGGAGGATTTCTTTCAACTGGAGCAAGGAGGCTCAGAATACTTACTCATTTAACAAATATTTATTGAATACCATCACTGTGTAATCTTACATCTTGAGATGCAAGATGTAAATCCTTTTTTGAATGGTTTATAGTTGAGTGGACAGATCTATAAAGTAAATATTTTATCATAGTGTGGTAAGGCCTACTGAATCTATTATGTTAGGGAATGATCTAAACATCAGAATCATAGTTTTAGAGGAGAAAGAATGTCTCATCTTATTTTTTCTCCTCAAGCAAGATTCCACTGAAGGATATAGCCAATGAGGCTGAGTGAATTGTGTGCCCTGCATTTGTATACCTTGTATGTAGTATTTTCTCACCTGTGAACTATTGTTCTAAGCACAAAGAGCATGGCACATACAGGTCTGGGGAATTACTTGAGGTACATTATATGCGGAACATAGTGACATTGATATTTATACATATTTCTGGCTTTCAAATGTGAACATGTGTGAATATGTACATAAACAACTATATTATAGTGGTATAGTTGATATTTGGAAATATCTTTAAATGAACAGTTTTCTTGTTTCTTAGAATCAAATTCTTGTAATATAGTATTGGAGAGTTACCTAATTTCCAAAGTTTTTGATGTAAGAAATAAGAGGAACTAGGGAATACACACAAATCTGCCAAACTATTAGCAGTTTGAAGACTAAGTTTTTCTGTTTCTGCCTTGGAATGTGAAGAAATGTAGAGGCATCCATTATTGTCACATAGCTCTCTCCCTTACTTTCTTATGTATCCATAAGAATTAATGGCTTTTCCTTGTCCACTATCACATAAGGGTTTCTCTACTCACCAGTGAAGGTTGGAGGAGTAGGAATAAGAGGCTTACATTTGTTTCTCAGTGTCATCTTTTTAAGTAAGATATAGGAGTAACTATTTTTCAGGCATCTTCATTTAATGCTAAAATCATGTGACTTGACAAAGAATAAGATTATGGACACTATTTTCCATAAAAGCATGAATTAATTTTAAAGTTAAGAAAACAATAAATGTATACCACAACATATTAATTTTCTCCACAATTTTGTTTAAATATCCTGCTTTTTCACAAATTTTATCTCATATATGGAGCTCCATGTCATGAAATGTTCTTTGAAAATACGATTTATATTAGCTCGATAAATCCTTATATGGATGTAAACTAGTTTTCTTATTAGTTGCCAGAGATCACTTAGAATAAATAAAGAGCCATCCGGATAAAGAAACATTATCAAACCATTAAAAATCACATTTCAAAGTAGTTAATAACCTTGGGGAAAAATTAGGATATAAGTGAAAGAAGCAAGCTATAAGAATGTGAAATAATCTCAGTTTTATAAAATATAAATGTTTTATTAATAATCAGAACCATTTACATTCTTGTATATATTTCAAAGTCAAGGATAAAGTTGGTTTCTCTTTTATTTCACTTTAAGGAAACCCCTAAATGCTGCACATATTTTTTTACATTTAAATACTTATTTATATATTAAGCAACCATTACCAAGAGTGATCCGGTAAGTTTTAACCAAGATGGTGGGCTTTACACAAGGCTTTTTTTCTCTGGTCTCATATCCCATAAACTAAAAGAAAACCATTTGCACGTACAAACTGTATGTTGAATATTATTTTTGTAAAAAACTGTGCGGAATTCCTGGGAGATAGAAAGCAGATGGAGCAGTTGTGAAAGAAGTTGGCCAGCTACAGGCAGCCGCCGGAGAGAGAGGAGGAGGGGAGTCGGCTAGTCTGGCTGGGTTTGAGAGAAGTGGTCGGGGGTCGTTTGAGGAAATGAAGGAGTGCTCGCGACTGTGCAGATCCAGCACCCGGGCGCGCGCTGTCCCGCCTAGTTGCCGCCCGCCTAACGGAAGGCGAAGGGGTGGGGGCGGGGCCGCGGAGCAGGCGGGCTCTGAGGGTCGGTTCCCGAGCGGCAAAAAATCCCGGCGCCAGAGCTAGGCCTAGCGGAGCAGCGCCGCGAAGCCTCGGCAGCAGCTATTCTTCGGAAACCTGCAGCCGCCGGGACCTTTGCCGTTGCAGACATCCCTCTTACCTTGCCTACCTTTCTGGTGGGCTCCTTCTGTATCGCCGTTCCGTAGACACAGCAACATCGAAAACAGCTAAGTGGGCAGTTCCGGGTTTGGGGCTGGAATTGGGGCGGACTCTCGGAGCGGGCTACTCTCGGGAACCCGCCATCTCCTGCGGCAACCGCCGCTGCGGCTAACCCCTCCAGGGCAGGGAAGGAAAACGCTGTGGAAAGGCTCGCGCAGTCCCAGTGCCCCTCGTCAGCTAGAACGTTTCTGCCAAGTCTTGGAGAGCTTTATGCTCGGAAAGGAAGAGGAACTGGCACACACACAAATATATATCTACACCTATATATTTACATGCATGTATATCAGATAGGAGAGTGTTGACTTTTTGTCAGCTTAACTGAACAAGTGACAGTTTTGCCGGAGTCCCCTTAAGCCCGAGTCATGTCGCCCCCAACTATGCCCCCGATGGGCGTTGATGGCGTGTCGGCGTACCTGATGAAGAAGAGGCACACCCACAGGAAGCAGCGGCGCAAGCCCACTTTCCTCACTCGTAGGAACATAGTAGGCTGCCGCATTCAACATGGCTGGAAAGAAGGGAACGAGCCGGTGGAGCAGTGGAAGGGCACAGTGCTCGAGCAGGTTTCGGTGAAGCCTACTCTCTACATAATCAAATATGATGACAAAGATAGTGTGTATGGACTAGAACTGCACCGCGATAAGAGAGTTTTAGCGCTAGAGATCCTTCCTGAGAGAGTGCCAACCCCTCGCATTGATTCGCGTTTGGCAGATTCCCTAATTGGCAAGGCAGTGGGGCATGTGTTTGAGGGCGAGCATGGTACGAAGGATGAATGGAAGGGCATGGTCCTGGCTCGAGCCCCTGTGATGGACACTTGGTTTTACATCACCTATGAGAAAGACCCCGTCCTTTATATGTACACGTTGCTGGACGACTACAAAGATGGAGACCTACGCATCATTCCAGAATCCAACTACTATTTCCCTACGGCAGAAAGGGAACCTGGAGAGGTGGTCGACAGCCTGGTGGGCAAGCAGGTAGAGCACGCCAAAGATGACGGGTCCAAGAGAACCGGCATTTTCATCCATCAAGTAGTGGCCAAACCTTCTGTCTATTTCATTAAGTTTGATGATGATATTCACATTTATGTCTATGGTTTGGTGAAAACCCCCTAAATTTCCTGGGCTCTTTACAAAAGAATTGTGGAACTAAAAATGTAAAAAATGTCATGTTCTTGTAAGTGTGAATTTTGAGAACAGTTTTGGTGTCACAAATTCAAGAATTTATTAATATTTATTGTGCCTCCAAATCTTACTTCGAGTGCTTCCATAGTTTTGCCTCAAGTGTTCTTTGGTACTATTCACGTTGCCTTCTTCTGTAACTGAAAACTTAAAAAATTAGGTGCTAATAGAAAATTAAAAAATGTTCACAAGGAAAAACTAAAGAAAATTAATAGTGTCACCCCACATCATGTCCTTCTACATGTCCTATTTCCTTACCTCCCCACTTTTTTCTTCCAAGGTAGAAAGTGTTAGGAAGATTATTCACAGTCTTCTGTTTTCCCCAGCCTCTTACAGAAAGTTTGGTGCAGTTATTTCTGTAAAAATGACAAGCCACGTAGTTTCTCTGTAATTGCTTTTCTCACTTGGCATATTCATGACTTTGTTTTATCAGTAACTGGAGATCTCTCCCCTCTCTCATCCCCCTCCTCTGGAATTTATTTTTGTCTATGATATAAAATAGAGGTCCTGGGATATTTTTCTCATTAATTACCTTATTATCCCTTTATTTTGATTAAATCACCCATTTCCCTCCCCTTCTAGAATTTATTTTTGTATATGGTAGAAGATAGAGGTCCGGCTACTCATATAGTCCACATTGGATGCCTGATTATGCCATCACATTTATTAAATCAATCACCCTTATTCCCTGTCTCTTCCCCTCCTCTTTTTCTTCTCTCCTTCTAACAGCTGCATATAGGTTTATACTCCGAACAAGTATATTACCATTTCACTATGAACAGTCATTTATTTACTTTCTTTTTCCACCATTTCATTGATGCAGTACATACTGGTGCTTTTATTTCTACAGAGTGGATTCCCAGAAACTAGATTGCTTGGTAGCTGTGTATTTAATTTTAAGAGCTACTCTTCAGTAATCTTTTATGTCTGAAAATATGTAGTGTAAAAATTTCCATACAATTGCTTCCTTAATTGATAAACTCAATTAGGTGTTTTTTTTTGTTTTTTTACTATTTGGACTTTCTCTTCCTGCCAATTCTTATCCTCTGCTCATTCAGCTACTGAATAACTGATCCTTTCCTTAAGATATTTGTAGGAATTCTTACTATATATTATATACTTCCAACATATACTTACTATATTATGCATATTAACCATTTGTTAAGCAGAATGTTATATTTTTACCCATTCTATCATTAATCTTAATCTTATTGATGTTATCTTTTACTTTGTAGTGTATTTTTAATTTTAGATAGAATATGATCGTCTTTTTTTTTACTTTTTAGATTTCTGTTTTTTACAAATGAATGCTCCCATACAAATTCCCAACTAAATTTTTCCTAAAATTTTTTTTTTCAGGTTTAACTCTTTGACCCATCTGGAATTTACTTTTGTATTTAAGAAGGTAGAGGAGCAACAATACATTTTTCACATTGGACACCTTATTATACTCTTTTATATTAGATGAATCATGTGTTTTCAAATTCTTAAACCAATTACCACATTGTTTTAATTATAAGACTTGATCATAAATTTTGAACTCTAATGAAGAAAACCCCCTCTTTTTACTTTTTTCTTTCCTTTATAAAACACCTTAAATATTCTTTCCATATTTAAAAAAAATTGGAATCATAGGATTAAATTATAATTCTGCATTTCTATTTAAGGATTATTTTCCATCTAAATAATACTAATCCTTAACAGTCAAAAATTTTCATACATTACTAAAATGTTTTGTATAATGTTCTTTATATAAGTTCATCATTTCTGATTAGACTAATTTCTAAATATTTTTATAAATATTTTTCTAACATTTTGACATTTTGAATTGGTATTTCTTCCTAATCATTTGTAATTTTCAATATTTGGCAATATATAAAAATACGTTATTTAAATATGTTTATCTATTCTAGTCAGTTTAGTAAATCTCCTAAATTACAGTTTGTTTTTTAATTAAAATATTTTGGATTTCTTAGACATAAATTATTTCACATGGGAATAAAGATAATTTATTTGAATGTTTATATTTATTTTCATGAAATTAACTGTATTCTCCACAATGATCTTAGATAATCATCATGGTCAGACATGCCTGTTTTTCACTTTTTATGAATTGTCTTCAACATTCTTTATTAATTTGAAATTTGCCTTTGGCTATTGGTAAATAGGGAGTTTTTCTATTTTTGTTTTACACAGTATTATTACTATAGGTGGTTCCTGAATTTTTTTGTTTTTTTTTTCAGTATCTATTGAAAAAGTCTTATGATCTTTAATTTTTGATATGATGCAAACTTCTGTTTTCATGTAAATCCTTAGTGATAATGTAGTAATCACTTGATAAAGTGCTACACTTTACTTACATTTTACCTTTTGTTTAGAATTATTCTACTTATAGTCCAATATGAAATTGTATTTTTTATTTCTTTTTATTATTTTATCATATTTTTATCATTAAAACAGCTAACTTTAAAAATGGATTGTTTTCAGTCTTTTTCTGTGGTCTGGAATAGCATATATCATGCTCGAAAATTTAGCTAGTTATAAACTGGAACATAATCTAATCTTGGTGACATTCTTGAAGGTAGTTATTGTCAATGGTAATTAGCTTATTCAAGTTTAAAGTGGTCTTTCTGGACTATATTATTCAGATCTATTATGTCCTAGATATGTCCAGTTATGAAAATGTAATAAAATCATCTGCTACAATGGTATGTTAAACTGCCTTTATATTCTTTTATTTATTTTGTAAAGTTAAAACATAAGAAAATATGAAAGATGTAACATTTGTTTACCGTCACCCAAATTTGCAAAGTCGACATTTTGTCGTGCTTTCGATATAGATTTATATTTTTAAAAAGAACACAGATTGGTACTCTACCTGTACCATAATGTTTTTTTACTCTGCAAAGTCATGCATTATGAATTTAATTTTGACCTTGCTCATGTTTTATATAGTTACTGAAAATATGACCATAATAGAAAACTGTATTGATTTTTGTTTTCTAATTTCAGCATGAATAGTAAACTTTAAACTATGTAACTATGTGGGATTTATTTTGTTTTTTTTTCTTGCAGAGATCTTTTTTTTTTCCAATTCAGAAATGGAATTCAGTAACAAACACAGCCAATACCACTGAATTTAGAGTGAAGATCACTATTCTAGCTTTTACCATTTTTTAAAAAATATGTTACTTCTGGCACAAAATTATGTAAAAAGAAACTTACATTATTTTCAAACATGCTACTTCTTTCTTTTTAAAGATTTATTTATTTACATATACTAGAATGAGATAAAGGCCAGAGGTACAGGGGTTGAAAGGATTCACCAGAGACAGAGAGGGGAGCAGAACAGGCAGATGTACTGTACTGAAGTAGACTACTGTGGGGAGCAGCTTTCAAGACAGGAGAGATATACTGGGCCATGTGGATTAGCTCCCTCACTGGGGATTGAACTTGTGCTACAGTGGCTGTGAATAGCTTTATAATGCTGTGCTTAACCCCTTGTATCACCAGGGAGGCCCCTACTTTTTCCATTTTTTTTTAAGATTTATTTATTTGTGCATACAGAATTGGGGTACAGGCCAGAGGCTCAGGGGCGGCGAGAGGCTTCACCAGAGACAGAGTGGGGAACAGAACAGGCAGATTGACGAAGTACACTGCTGAGGGGAGCAGCGGGCAGGTCAGGAGAGGTCTGCCACACCATGTGGATCTCCTCCGGGGCAGGCGGGAATCGAACTCATACGGAAGCGGCTTTAGATTCTCAGTGCTGTGCTTTAACCCACTGCGCCACCAGGGAGGGCCACTTTTTCCATTTTTAACACAGGGAAACTTGGCGCTAGCCAGGGCACTAGGGACTGACCTAAGATAAAATTTCAAATTTCATGGAGGCTGTATCCTGGCTGTAGTGAAGTAGTTATTTACCACCCACCAGCACAAATAAGCCTTATGTTTTCTTTCTATTATATTATTAAGGTTATTCCGCATTTAAAAAGTCAAAAGAGAGGCTTGGCTTAAATACTTGCACTATATTTGGTATATACCAGCTAACAAAGCAAACTATTCCTTTTCAAAGAGTAAACATGAAAATTGTATGGATTTTAGATTCATAGCAATGCTTCCTATCTTGCCCTCCCAAGGGCATGAAACAAGCAATATGCTGCTCTGTAACAATTTTGGATAACTTAAGGTATGATGAAAGTTTCAACCCTGGCCCCAGGCCTGGAGATAAAATGGAAAACAATCTTGACAAAATTCTTGTTCTATTACAGAAAAGTGGGAGGAGGAAGAAAGCCACACTACCATTAGGTAGTCTCATAATGATTTGGGACGATCGCACAACTTGATAGAACAAAGTTCATCCTGTCAGGGTCAGGCACCAGCCAAACATAAGGCATACTGAAGGAGCAGATGCTCCAAGAAGAAGCTGATATTTGGGAGCAATAACCGCATGACTTGTTTGTTACCACTTTGCTTGTCATCACCAGTTAACCCAAACCTGGGCAGAAAAATAAGCTTCAATTCCTTGTCAAAATTTCCCACTGGACTACTTCTCCCCCCTACCTTGGCTTACAGAAACCGCCATCCCTGGGTTCAAAGCCTTGCTGGGCAACTGGCCTTAATAATACCTCTCTTCACTGAGACAGTGCATGTGGTTCTTGGTGAGCTTTTATTTTGATGCCAAAACCCAGGAAGAGCGCCAGCTCAGTGCCCCTGGGGCCTGAGTCCTTTTCTTGGACCTTAATTGCTGCCAGTTGCTGCAACCAGTACTATTCTCTCCCCTTGGACCATCTTGACTTGCTGACTCCCTGGGTCCATCATTTGGTTGAGTAAATCAGGTCAGTTTCCTCTCCTTTCCTGCTTGCCTTTTTCCCTGGCTGGACAGTTGAAGGATAGGGGTGCTCAGGTTTGATGGTCCTGCCCTTCCTGAAAATCATAGTACTACATAAGATTGTGCTCTTACTGCCTAAGCCGACTTTGGGACACCAAATCTTGGCTTTTGGGCCACTTTTTTGCCCAGAGTGATTCTCAGGACGCTGAGTTTTGACTCTCAGGTTACCTTGTTCATTGTGATTGTGTTCCACAGAGAGGGATGCCTTTTGGGGAGCCAATTGCCAGTTCCTTTTTACGTTTTCCTGTCCACCTTCTTCCATCCTTGGGAACCTGTTACTCTAAATTTGATCCCACCATCCCTTTGGGTTGTCCCCTCCAGTCCCTCAATTCCCTCAGACTCCAGGAGGACCTAACACCTCACCACTTCATTATTTATTTATTTATTTTTTTACTGTAATATGGCCTGACCTCAATATAGACCAGACAATGGCTCAAAATGGCCTGAGAACGGGACCTTCAACTTCCAAATTCTCACCGATCTTGACAGCTTCTGTCACCATGATGGCAAGTGGTGAAATCCCCTATGCCAAGCCTTCTTTCAGCAGCGCAGTCACCCCTCTCTCCTAAAGTACTGTTCTACCTTCCAGATTCTCCTGGCTCATGACTGTCAGATGCCATGTTTCCCCCATATTGACAGTCCTCCTGAAGATTTTTCTCTCTCTCCTATCCTCTTGATGACCATGTTCCTCCTCTGGCACTCTCTACTTACCCTAACTCTTTTTCTTTTATTTCCAGTGACTCTTCTCTGACCTCCCTGCCTCCACCCTACCAACCTTCCCCTTCCAACTCACCTGCACCTGGACCTATTGCTCCCTTGTCCTCACTCCTCCACTTACCCACACCACAAGGTGTCCTACAAATGCTTCCTTCCTCTCCAGTCTCTCGCTCTCCCTCTGCTCTGCCTACAGTTTATACCCAATCCAAAACCCCGGCCCTGGCTTCTGTTTTCCCATTACAGGAAGTGGCTGGTGCTGAAGGTATGTTTCATGTCCACATACATTCTCTATGACTGACTTTTCCCAAATTGAAAAACATTTGAGATCCTTTTCTAATGAACTTTCCACCTACACTGAGGAATTTAAATCTCTCATTTAGGCTTATAGTATGACTTGGCATGACATATATGCCATCCTGTCTCCCACACTTAACTGCTGATAAAAGGGATAGGATACCCCACACAAATATTTCTTGAGCATGGCATTTAAAGTCTTTAATAATCAAGATGAACAGGAAAGGGCTGCAAGGAGGCCGTGGCAAATAGAAAACTGGGGGGTTGATTGTTCTAATCTGACACCCTGTGGTAGGTCAATCCCCTCCTTTCTCCAGTCACCATGAACAGGCATGGCAGACCATTAGGGCCACAGAAGTCTGTGGCAACCCAGGCAGCTCAACTCTATTAAGAATCGCTTTTGAGGAACCCAGGGTAACTCTCCAGGTAGCAGGTAAAGATATCTCCTTTCTGATTGACACAGGGGCTACCTACTCAGTTCTTCCAACATTTGCAGGTGAAATTTTCTCTCTCAGATCTCTGTGATGGGTGTCAATGCCCTGACCAAGTCATCCCCACACAACAAGACCAATCTCACGTTCATTTTTCATCTCCTTTTACCCTTCCTT